TGAGAAACACCCTGTGTGTGAGGGAGAGACTGATTTTGGCTCGCAGCCCAGGGCTTTGAACTCAGTTCAAAGAGACAAGACTTCTGTCTAGACTCCAAATGTCGCGCCATTATACTGTTTCCATGCAAAAGAGGAAACTTTGGCGTCACCACTTTTTGGGCAGATGCCCATAGCCTCACACGATGTCTATAGACAACCTATATGAACACATTTCATATAATCATGATGACGTTATATGATAAATAAATAAAACTTGTTTGTTTATAAGTCCTGGCTTCAGGCAAAGCCGTACAGCTGCACACATATTGTCAGAGGTGTCAAGTAATATATATAATATAAGCTATTTACCAGATGCTTTTATCCAAAGTGACCTACAGTCATGTATGCATACATATGGGTGGAATCAAACCCACTATTGTGGCGTTGCAAGCGCCATGCTCTACCAGCTGAGCAACAGAGGACCACATGCTACCAACTAATGCATGCTCCCAACTAATACATGCTACCTACTTTTGTACACTGTCACATTATAAAGGACCACACAACTAGTTGACACACTCCATTATCTTCCAATACTCTTCCTATTAGTCAACAGCAATAGCATTCACAGTGGCCTGACTATATTACATTACTTAACACAGCCTATTCATAGCAAACCCTATTCTTTCTAGTGACTCACAAGAACTCCCCAGCGTTGTGCTTGGAACATCATGTTAATTAATAGCGTGTGTGAGTGTGTGTAAGGTACAGTAGAGTAGTGGGCCTGCTGTATTCAGTGCTGTTGGTGGTCCTGTTGAGGTTGACATGTGAGGGCTGGAGGGTGGTGGGGGGGACGATGGGGTGGGCTATGTTATGGGGTGGTCCTCTCTCTGATCCTAGGTGGTAGAACTACTGCATGGTGAAGCCTGTGTGGCCCCGTGCCTAGGAGTTACTGCAGGGGTATGGGGGTGCCCTCACAAAGTCAATTAAGATGCTGGTGGTTGGCATCAGATTAGAGGCTTGCCAACCTGACTCACTTGGGCAGGTCTGAAAATTCCCTTTCACTGCAGACTGGTTGAACTGGTCTTTCAGAAGAGTTTCTATGGTTTGGGGGCGACAGTTAATTCAGGTACCATCGCTGTACGAGGCTACGGTATCCAAGACCAGCTTACCTCTGCTACACACAGTCATTTGGTAAGCTGGTCCTGTATACCATATTCTGTTATTTGTAAGCATGCACTGTGAATTTCTAAGAACTTCTAAGTGACAGCCAACATCAGCTGACTGCAGCTCTATCAGAATCAGCAGAACCCAGTTCGACCTAGGTAATGCAGCACTCTCTTCCTTTTGCTAGGAACAGCAGAACACAATTAGCTAAACTCCTCTGGCCTACATTTCCTTCTTTCCAAGAACAGGAAGTAAATATCTGGTCGCTGTTTACTGCTCCCAGGAGGGGTCTTTACTTTAGCCAGTGATACCCTAACGGCATTCTTTAACTTGTTGACTGTAAACAGGTTGCTCTCTTTTCATTGTGGCTGTATTTGCCCTGCTCTGAATATTACACAATTAGTCTCTCATCATGGTTTCTAAGAGGACCAAGGATGCTGGAGTAATTTATTCGTACAAGGAAGAGCTAGTTATTTATTACCAGAATATGGAAAATTATGTTATCATGCTTTTGTCTGAGGAGGATGTTACATACTTTACTCCTCAGGTCATTGACTGTTCAGCTCTGTTAGCTTGTGTCATTATGTCAGTTAAACACCAGGAAATGACCCATCAAAAACCTTACAAGGTGGGAAAAGGGAGTTTTTTTCCTCTCAGAACTCTTGGACAGAAGAGTCTCCGGAAGAGTTAATAAGAAGCATAATTGCATAGTTTTTTTTTGTTTTAGATTGAATTAGCTTCACTGGCATGCAGGGTTGGCAGAGACTGAACTTGTGGCACTGACCTTTCCATTGATTGTATTGTACCGGGGAAGCTAAATCAAGAAAGTCATTGAAAGTATCTGACATATTTATTGCAGCAACAAAGCTTTGAAGCTCTATCATTGTCCAGATATACACTATTTCAAATGAGCTATTTGGAGCATCATGCTTTAATCAGTCAGGCCAGGAAACAAGAGTCCTCCCTCCTTCCTGGACTCTAAGAGAGATACAGTGGACTCCTGTTGTAGCATCAAATCCTTCAGAAAGGACCACATCCTGTTGGGCACAGGGGTCAAATAAAACAACCAAATCACTCTAACCAATGGAGGAACAGGAGAACTTGACTCCCAGCTCTGGCCCTGTGCACACTTTTGTATTGTGTGTATTTGCATTCAGATCCTTTACTTATTCTATGCATTTCTTTACAACATGACATTCTGAAGACTGCACTGATTGCAGACAATAGTTCTTACATTTCAGTCTGCAGTAATTCCTCCACAGTGTGTTTGGAATATGAACATAGGACCGTTAACACTGGATTCTGATTGGCTTAGTTGAAGATTTGAGCAACAAGAATGTTCTCAGCTGATAGGGTATTTGGAATAAGGCAGACCTTATTTTTTTAAAGGAAGTAGCGCTCCACTTACAGTGGGGGAAAAAAAGTATTTAGTCAGCCACCAATTGTGCATGTTCTCCCACTTAAAAAGATGAGAGAGGCCTGTAATTTTCACCATAGGTACACGTCAACTATGACAGACAAAATGAGATTTTTTTTCTCCAGAAAATCACATTGTAGGATTATTAATGAATTTATTTGCAAATTATGGTGGAAAATAAGTATTTGGTCAATAACAAAAGTTTCTCAATACTTTGTTATATACCCTTTGTTGGCAATGACACAGGTCAAACGTTTTCTGTAAGTCTTCACAAGGTTTTCACACACTGTTGCTGGTATTTTGGCCCATTCCTCCATGCAGATCTCCTCTAGAGCAGTGATGTTTTGGGGCTGTCGCTGGGCAACACGGACTTTCAACTCCCTCCAAAGATTTTCTATGGGGTTGAGAACTGGAGACTGGCTAGGCCACTCCAGGACCTTGAAATGCTTCTTACGAAGCCACTCCTTCATTGCCCGGGCAGTGTGTTTGGGATCATTGTCATGCTGAAAGACCCAGCCACGTTTCATCTTCAATGCCCTTGCTGATGGAAGGAGGTTTTCACTCAAAATCTCACGATACATGGCCCCATTCATTCTTTCCTTTACACGGATCAGTCGTCCTGGTCCCTTTGCAGAAAAACAGCCCCAAAGCATGATGTTTCCACCCCCATGCTTCACAGTAGGTATGGTGTTCTTTTGATGCAACTCAGCATTCTTTGTCCTCCAAACACGACGAGTTGAGTTTTTACCAAAAAGTTATATTTTGGTTTCATCTGACCATATGACATTCTCCCAATCCTCTTCTGGATCATCCAAATGCACTCAAGCAAACTTCAGACGGGCCTGGACATGTACTGGCTTAAGCAGGGGGACACGTCTAGCACTGCAGGATTTGAGTCCCTGGCGGCGTAGTGTGTTACTGATGGTAGGCTTTGTTACTTTGGTCCCAGCTCTCTGCAGGTCATTCACTAGGTCCCCCCGTGTGGTTCTGGGATTTTTGCTCACCGTTCTTGTGATAATTTTGACCCCACGGGGTGAGATCTTGCGTGGAGCCCCAGATCGAGGGAGATTATCAGTGGTCTTGTATGTCTTCCATTTCCTAATAATTGCTCCCACAGTTGATTTCTTCAAACCAAGCTGCTTACCTATTGCAGATTCAGTCTTCCCAGCCTGGTGCAGGTCTACAATTTTGTTTCTGGTGTCCTTTGACAGCTCTTTGGTCTTGGCCATAGTGGAGTTTGGAGTGTGACTGTTTGAGGTTGTGGACAGGTGTCTTTTATACTGATAACAAGTTCAAACAGGTGCCATTAATACAGGTAACGAGTGGAGGACAGAGGAGCCTCTTAAAGAAGAAGTTACAGGTCCATGAGAGCCAGAAATCTTGCTTGTTTGTAGGTGACCAAATACTTATTTTCCACCATAATTTGCAAATAAATTCATTAAAAATCCTACAATGTGATTTTCTGGATTTTTTTCTCCTAATTTGTCTGTCATAGTTGACGTGTACCTATGGTGAAAATTACAGGCCTCTCTCATCTTTTTAAGTGGGAGAACTTGCACAATTGGTGGCTGACTAAATACTTTTTTCCCCCACTGTATGTGGGCCTCTTTGTTGCACATGTGATGTTTCTGTTTATTACACAATATATTCTGAGGAAAGGTTTCCTGTCTCTTGCAGTAAAAAAATAAAGTGTGTATGTGTGTGTGAGAGAGGGAGAGAGAGAGAGGGAGAGGGAGTGAAAAAGACACCGAAACCAGAGATCCCAGGAAGCCGAGTAGAGGATGTGTCCAGGCATGTTCCCATTATCCCTGTAAATGATTACCAGGAAGTGGAATCATAGCTCAGAGAGAATGTCTCGTCCAACCAACTGTGAACTTCACCCCACTGTTCATGACCACTCAGGACTATACTCTCTGCTCTAGACCCACTGCTCTACTTTGGTGCACTTAAACTACTTTCTCTTATGTAAAGGGTTATCTTTTTGCTCAGTTTGGCATTTTCCACCACCTGACTTTGGGGCAGTTGCTCTAGGCTTGGATGTGTGTGTATGTTTGTCTTAACTGTTTGTACTACCGATTCTGGCATTGTGTGTCTCTGTGCACAATGAGGAAGCCCTTGTGATGTAACTTATGGGAAAAAGCCTAAGAAGAGAAAGTGTGTGAGCAGAAGCCGTTGACCTTCATGATTAGCCTTGTTGCAAAGCGCAACAAGCTGCAGTGCCTATTTAAAGTCTATCCTACCAATAAAACATGGTTATATCATGCAAATACATCATGGAGAACTGATTGACATCGCGCTTTGTTGACACAACAGTAACACTCCTCCGCAAAAGCCACCATCACATTGTGCTCTTTCGTTATATTATTTGTTTACTGTATGGTCCCTTCACTGACATATGATTGGTTGGTTATGACATGCTCTACCGTACCGTGATTTTTCAAGCGGCTGGCAAAGTGTCATAACTGCTTCTCATTCGTCAAAGATGTCTTGGTCTTTACCGTCAGATAGTAGGATGTATGTCTGGGGCAAGATTGAGGGGGGAAATGTTCTGTCCTTAATGCTTGCTTTAAAGAGTGGTTTTTTTGCAGGTTTTTCCCCAAGATTCAATAAGGTTAGATTTCAAGTCTTTGACTAGGTAAGTGTTGTCCAATTTGTCTATATATTTGCAATACTTTTGCCATATTTGTGGTTTTTAATTACACTTTCTATTCTATGAGGCACTTTTGTTTTTCTCTTGCGTACTTAATGCATATAGTGGTGTGGAGGCCAAGATGTCATCGAAGATGCCAAGCTCTAACAACATAGCCCAGGCCAGGAGGACAGTACAGCAGCTGAGGATAGAGGCCAGTATTGAGAGGATAAAGGTATGGCATGCTGAAAGTTAAACTGAGTAGAAAGCAGTGTTGAGTAACAATAAAGTACATTTTCTGGTCCATACCGAAATGTCTCCCAAAATGCACACCAACTTGCAGCTAAGGATGATCTGTTGTCAGTGAGTGTCTGCGCGTGCTAGTGGGTGTGCGTGTGTGTAGGTGTGTAGGTGTGTTGATGGAGTGAGTCTGTGTCAGCAGAAACCCTCCCATTCACACACTCATATCTCTCTGTCCTGTAGGTATCCAAGGCCTCGGCGGACCTCATGCACTACTGTGGCGAACACGCCAAATACGACCCTCTGCTCATGGGCATCCCTGCCTCAGAGAACCCCTTCAAGGACAAAAAGCCCTGCACTATATTGTAGTGAACGCCTTTCTATTTATCTGTTTGCTTCTTAATGTTGCCTGTATTTTATTATCTGGGGAGAATTGTGATCTAAAACCATTACTCATCCATCAATCTTACCTTAAAGCCTGTAACGTTACCCTTTAATGAAAACGCTGTATTTTATCACTCAATTTGAACTTGCCATGACATACAGTAAACAGTTTGAATATACGTTGGGAACGTGACTGTTAGTGTCTGTCTGATTTAGCTCAGTGGATGTAGCCGTGGTTTCCGTTCATCCCTTTAACAAGTCTGTTATATGTTTGTCTTAAATCGTATCTGCTGTCATGTGTGTTACAATGACCGAATTTAATGTATTTCAGGCTTTGGAGTCATGGTTGGGACATGTGACTGTATTATCTTCTCCCCATTGACTCATGCTGTTTATTAATAACTTCCTGGTTTAGCAGGGAGTCACCTGGGTTGTCAGTGACCAATGGAGGAAGTAGACATCATCAGAGCCTTCTATTAATGTAAAGAACAGAAGTGTTTGGTTAGTGCAGAGGAGATGTCAACTCAATGCCAATTGTCGGATAGAAACCTGCAATGTATTGCTGATGCAGGTCATTCACCTAGACAACCTCAGTATACAGCACTCCTCCCAGCCATTTAAGCCAGCTGTTACATAACCTTACACTGTGAGCCAAGTCGCCTTACTTAATATTTATGATAGTGATCATATAATTAATGTATAGTTTGGTATATTAAAGAGGAGTTTCAGGTAAAAGTATTCAGTTGGGAGAGACCATAGAAGGTGCATCGGCTGGGCATGTGGGTTGTTATTAACAATGTAATAAATGATTTTCACTCCAAATGTTTACTATGTCATGTATTCAAGGCTGACCCCAATGTCCAGAGATAGTACTAAGTGTCCTGTTGAACAGTAAAGAATAGAATGTCTTGTATGCCCTGTCGTTCAGCTGTTGGGAACATGTCCCCCGTGACAAATCTAGACGAACCGAACCAGATGTATCTGTGTGGTTAGCACAGATAGGCTGGAAAGTAAAATGATTTTTGGGAACAATGTATCTTTAGGTGCTGAATTTGTGATTTCTAACTGAATCGTGCCATCGTTATGTCTACGTCTTGTCACTAGCAAAAGAGAAAAGAAAACATGTCGTACTTATCTGGTGCTACTGTTTGTATTGTTGGTGTCAGCCTCCCTCCTCTAAAAGGTACTTCATTAGTCATAAAGGTCTTGAAATCAGAGACAAGGAAACCCAGTAATCCATTACCAATTATTCAGTGATAGCAATTGTATCTCGACTAAGTTTCTCTCTAACAATGGGTTTTATTGCCATAAACTTAGTATGCTAAATCAGGCTGCTGTTAATTTGTGTGCCGTCACCAGATAATTGATTCAACCAGCATACCAGCAATGGCCTTAATGTACCTTTTGGGAGACTCTTAAGTGACCCTTGTGAATCTGGTGGATTAAAGACATCTGTATGTGGCTTTGTTCTCCATAACACATGATGGAGACTTTGTTCTCTCTTTCCTACTGTTATGAAACATGGTTTTATTATTGCACCTTTTTTTGTCTGCTCTGCTTCTTTGAAGTCTTCCCTCTTTGTTATTTTCTCTAGTAAGATGCTAGTTTTCCTCAGGGAAGTATTTTTTCATTCGTTAGTCTGATGATGTGTACTACCACAGTCCATTGTGCCCATTATGTTCGAATAATTGAACAATGAATCTCAGAAAGCATAACATTCAAATGTAGCATCCAATGTCACTCATATCCGAAGGGAATAATTAACAAATGCATAGGGGATGCAGACCAAGCTCATCCATAGGACTCAGCAGTTTGGTTCAGCTCCAGCCATGTGGCCTAAAGAAAACTACTGAGAGTTATCTATGGCCTAGCCTTGCTTCCTCTCATTACGTGGGGTCCAGCGGACATGTATTTATACCTCAACATGGAGAGAATAGAATAGGCCTTGGCCCACGGCCGTCTGGGCCCAGTGAACAGGAGAGAGCTAAACATAGAAGGTGCCGAAACCCTGGTTTCCACTCTTCGAGAGAGGAGGAGCTATTTTGGGGATTTGTCGGCATAGCCTGAAGCTTGTTCCCCTTGATTTGCTGTCCTTGTTTTTGGGCAGCTGGTGGGTAAACATGTTTTTTTCACTATGAGGAAAATGGTGGATCATAATCGAAAGAGACATCTTAGCTATTGTTCCCTCTTGCACAGGGTTCATCTCTGCAGCTGGGAAAGCTAGGCACAGTTTTACTATCTTACAGTGGAAGCCTTAAGGCACAGTGTCCTGCAGAATCCAGCCTGCACAGTAGCAGTGTATTGATATCAGCTCTAAGCAGACGTATCAGCCATGAAGCACACAGTGTAATCCTGGTGAGCGCAATATCATTGTGTTCCAGAGCGAGTCTGCTGGGCACATTGCTAAGGCCGACTGACCACGTGCCTCCCTCTGTGAAAGCTTGGCAGTTACAGTGTCAGTGTGTTGGAATGTGCTGATGTGGGGGAGCCGGGGAGGGGGTGGGGGAGGGGGGCAGTGTCGATCCAATCTCTGCACTGTTGGCAGTCCCACCCCCACACAGCCCCTCGGTTAGACCGAGCCACTCACTCACCTATTCAGCAGTGCAGTGGACCGTGCCAACCATGGCATCTAATCTACTGGCTCCTACCCCCAGTGCACCCTCATGATATTATAACACTGTTGTTACACTGTTGTTATTCAACTTTTGTGTTTGGTTTGTTCTTTTTCTGTAGAGATCTACACTGTTATTGTGAAATACTTATTGTATTAATAGTGTTCTCTGTTGAGTAAGTGTAACATGTTGAGTGTAATCTGTTGAGGAACTTGTAGATGTAAAACATTGTCTCGAGATTCCTTCTCCACAGTTACATTGAGTGAAAAATATGATTCTGCTTCATTTGAAACCTGTCATCACCTGACTCTTTATTGCCCTATACAACCTTCTAAAATGTGTGTTGATTGTAATAACCTGAATGCACAGGGGTACCCAAGGAGCAGGTTGGGTAGATACTAAAGCCTGGGGATTGTCAAATCCCTCCTGTTATTGCATGAACTCCTCCAGTACCAACATAACACTTACATCAACCCTACCCTAATTATATATAAAAATAACCTTTTCCCCTACACCAACACAATACCACATGACATCAGTGTCAAACCCTCCACCGGTCGGTCATACACCTTAGTTACGTCATGGTAACCTTCAACACAGTGCGGTCGGGAGGGTCTACCCAATCCAGTGTTATTTCTATATAATATACAATATTATTGATGAAAATATAATAGCATCCATGTGAAACAACTTTTTTGTAGTTTGTGCTAGAAAAATAAAACTATTTAAAAAATTAAAAATACATATCTTTGAGCTAGGGAAATATCTTGAGTTTAAAAATAAATATTTAACAGTATTCCAAAAGATTCTTAAAGCCATTTACAATGAACACACAACAGCAAAATATAATTCTCCTCATGTGGGAAGAAAATGGGTTTTGCTGTGCAAAGGTGACAAGCTCTTCTCATGATCATAATTAAACGGGGGGAAGCCTGCCTTACATGATCTCTGACATCATCCACACTCGACACCAGCGTCACTTGTGAGCATGTCACTCAATAGCAAGTGGAGAAAGGAGTGGGTGGTTTATACAACCTGCACCCATTGCAGTCTCCCTTACAAAACTTTCCAAAGACTTCTAGTCATGTGCTCTCTACCACACCTTCCCTGTGACAGACTAACCAGCTCAAACAGCCTTGCAAGCATCAGGTGTTTGATAACTGGGGTAGAGTTTACACTATTACCTACCCCAGCAGAGGTTTTGTAATATGTTGCAATTGTATGTAATATGTCCCCTCTGTCCATACACTATTAGTTGAAGCAGTGAACTTTGTTTCTTTTTCCATTCTACCTTTATTCACCTGACCACTCACTATTGTCTCGTTCAATAGATAGTTTTGCATGCAAGTGAAAAATCAAAGCATGTGTACTGAGCAGAAACCTGGATTGTCAAATGTGCACATGTGCACTGTGTGTTAGCAATACTTTTCCTAGTGAGGCAGCAGGCAGGTGTAATGCATTCAAAGAGGTATGCAGGAAGGGCACTCAGCTCAACCGTGGGTTGAACTCAGGACGGGTGAAAATGGGAAGCCGTTCGGATGAATGAGCACGGTCTTGCTGACCCAAGCAGAGCAAAGCGTGGAGCGGAGGGGGGCTATTATAACCCAGCATGAGGATGTCACTGAGTCCATGGAGGCCAGTGTGACCTCCATGATCCACACGCGATTCCCTATACAAGTGTTAGAGGGGTCAAAGCTCAACTAGCTTTGTTACATTACCAGAAATTAAGAAAATAAATGAATGAGAAGGACCATCAAGTTCTGGCTCCAAAAATACTTTTTATTGATGATAACAATAATACATCTGTGCCTTTGCAGACAATTGCAGATAGATAATGGTACAAAAATTGCTAACATAAATACATTTAAATATCATAAGAAATAACTTAACTGTAAAAAAAGAACTATTCACTTGTGTAAAAAACTGTTGGCATTGGAAACACTGACTGAATGCATAGTATCTTCACTGTTCATTGGATATTTAGCCCTTCCCTTTTTAAATAATTATATAACAACAATAGTAAAGACAACATCAACAGTGTGAATAAAAAATAAAATTGCAAAAGTCCAGTGTTTCTACAAGTGCTCATGTTTCGGCAAAGAGAGAGGCCTTTGTTGTCTTAACAGTGCCTACAAAAGAGCTAATATTTTAGTTTTTCTCCATCTTTAAAGTCCCCACAAGGTGAAGTGCTCTGCCATACATGATTTTATCCTTCTGTACGGTGTGTCCATCTTCCGTTAAAAAGCACAGACTTCGGTTTCGGTCTCGTGACCGAACATAAAAAGTGCCTCGTCATCTCGTCTCGACTGCCATAGCCGAGAGTTCAACTCCACCAGTCCCAGTGGAAATCCATCCCCTTTTGTTTCCCATCTAGATGGCTGGATCTGATCTTCTTTTTTTCTTCTCAAAATGCTTTATTTTGTTGTTGTTTATCTTCTTTTTCCTCCATCAGGAATTTTCCCAGGGTAGTGTGTCCATCAGGGATCACTCTACTCCCGTACAGAGAGAGTCCTTCACAGGTCTTGCTGTTGGGGGGACCCTTCATCGCTCAGGGAGGTTGATGATGGGTACCCACTGGTCCATGCACCGGCTCTCCCTGCAGAAGCGGTTCACTTTGCTCAGGGCTGGGTCTTTCCAGGAGGAGGAGTGTGGGCTCTGCAAAGACAAGAGAAAAAGAGAGAAAGAGTCAATAGTTGCAAAAGTATCCTAATGCCTGATTTTATGGCCTGTAGGCATATTATGTCAACTTTCAATAAATAAATAGAAACCTGGGGGTTTCAAGACTATGAGCAATTCCACAGAAGTCATTAGTGGCAAGACTGAGTGGTGCGGTACAGGACACGAGGAGTGAGTATTTAGTGGGTGTGGGCATGTACTGGCATGTCCAGAGCATGAGTGTCTGGTGCGCCAGTAAAATAAAATAACTTTTGAGCCATTTTTAGCACCTGTTTGCGTTTGAAAGTTAACATATTTGAGTGAATATGAGGTGAATAAAGTGGGAATAGATACTTACAGTGACCAGGACACAGTGCAGGTCCATGGGCTCTCCCCCCTGTTTCCCTCCCCCGCCGAGGATCTCTGCCAGACGCCTTGTGTTGTTCACTCGCAGGATGCTGATGTCATTCTCACAGCAGAATGCCTGGATCAGGGTGAAATGGATCTGAAGGGCCACGTCCTTTACATCCTCGTCATCTGTAGCCAGGATGCACAGAACCACATTATCTGGATCTCTAATGATGAAAGTAACAGATCTGTGGTTAGTAACACAGTAACAGCACATGAACTGCAGACATTCTAAACAGGCATGCATAGACAAAAACTACATCATTGGAACTTTGAACTTTCATTGGTTTTAAAGATGCGTAACCTACTTACACATTCAATGATTTTGCTGCTTCATAGACCCCTACTGTTATGCATCCCTGGGGTAATGCCAATGAGAGAACCTCTTCCAATGCTTTTGCCACTGTATCCATCCTAAAGCAGAAAAAAATATTAATTATTAAAACTAACATCAAACTCACATCAACTTTCACATATGCATGGCCAAAGCTTAACTTCTTGAAAAGGAGGGCATGCCAGGGCAAGTCTATCTGAACTGGCAGACTGCCGTTACTGCCAAGCGCAGGAGCTGGCTATCGTGTACTACTAGCATTAGCTAGCTAGCTTGGTACTGTACCTTGAGCTAGCTGCGAGTCCAACTGACTGATTTGCAAGTTCAAACTCTGAAATCGCGTTTGATTTTCGGTGCATGTCACTCCATAATTGATAAAACCCCTATTGTATTATGAGTACAAAGATAGTCAATTACACTGAATTTTTTAGTTCAGGTCAAAAGTGTTTCCCTAAAATTACCTGACACCGGTGTTACAGTGTCAGGCTAACTGCAGATTTGCTGGCCGGAACGCGTCTCGTGAGCTCAACAGAAAAGCTGGCGTTACATATTCGAATACTGCAAAAACGTCAACCAAGCCAAGCAACCTAGCTAGGTAACTAACCAAGTCATAGCATAGTTGTCAAATTACTTAGATAACGTTACAGCAGTTAAATATCTTAATAAAAATACATTGAAGTTTTCCGCATTCTTTTTCAAATGTTAATGCATGCATTGCTTGCCAAGTTAAAGTGACACAGGAGAGTTGCACTGGCATTGGAAAAAGCGCTTAAAATTATAGTTTACCTTTCTGCAGAATAATCCCCACTTAGTTCCTCAAATGTCATTTTGCACATAAAATCAAAATCGAGACAATTATTTTTCTTGCTGATATGTCACTGTTAGTGCTAGTGAAATTTTGACACTGTAGCTACTCTGTTTATCGCTGTTGGAAATAAGGTAACAACTGGTGTCCACAGATAATATCGCAAGAACAATGCAAGTGCATAGCGTGACGTCAGATATTTGCATACTTAACATCATTGGCCACATGCTAATTTACCAAGACCTTCCTGGATTGGGAACGGCTGTAAAATGAGTGGCAACAGTAATGAGATAATTTGATTGGAAGACTATTTTAGAGAGGCGTGGTCTGTCTCCAGCTGTTGCATCTACTTTATGTGAGGTTCTGTACCTCGTCAGGAAACCGGTCAAAATGTGTTATTCAACGCCAATTTAGTTATTCAAGATAAAATAAATAAATATTTCAAAAGTTTGATAAAAATGCTTGATTGTATCCCTATCTGTCAGTGCATTTGTGCATTTTGAAACAGAAGAACACAACACACACATATACAAACGTAAGGGTCTTAAGAACATGACAAACGATGAAAAGTAAAGAAAGCATATCAAGTGGCAAGTTGCCCTGAACTACTAGGCTACTCTGTATGCTAAACTCATAGGATGACATGTCTGTCAAGAAATCACCTTCATAAACCAGAAGAAAAAAAACGTTTATCAATTGTATTATTGAAAATGGAAATGGTCTACATCTGATGACCTGATCCCCTGTATTTTGCTAGGAAAATTATGCAACCTCACCTTTCATGAGAACGAGCCGGGTATGAAGACATAGCAACGAGACGCTACCAGTTTCTGATTGGACAGTCGGCAGAGCGTGCGAAACCGCGGCTCCTGGAGATGTGCATGCAGGAAGAAAGATATGGATAGGTCAAGGAATAAGATTGTAAAAAAATTTCCCTGATGAAATTCAACCGATTAAATAGTCTTAATACACTTTAATAATTTTTATAAAGGCCTACATTTCAGAGACCCATCTTCAAATAGAAAAGGTGAAAAAAAAAATATTATTAGGCCTATTTTATCTTTAAATTGGAATAGTACTATCTGAGATGAGCTGGGAATGATGGTTGTCAATATTAATATATTGGTAATCTTTGGTAAGATTACAATAGAAATACAATTTACCTCTAAAGGATCAAATGCAGTGCTTCTTATTGATTACTGTCTCTCTATGGGAGTGTTGGTTTATGGCCTCTGACAAGAGATCTTATGGCCTCTGAAAAGAGGTCGGGCCTTATGGCAGAGGTGACACTGCACTCGTTCCATTATTACAGTCGTGGTCAAAAGTTTTGAGAATGACACAAATATTAATTTTCACAAAGTCTCCTGCCTCAGTTTTTATGATGGCAATTTGCATATGCTCCAGAATGTTATGAAGAGTGATCAGATGAATTGCAATTAATTGCAAAGTCCCTCTTTGCCATGAAAATAAACGTAATCCCCCAAAAACATTTCCACTGCATTTCAGCCCTGCCACAAAAGGACCAGCTGACATCATGTTAGTGATTCTCTCGTTAACACAGGTGAGAGTGTTGACGAGGACAAGGCTGGAGATCACTCTGTCATGCTGAGTTAGAATAACAGACTGGAAGCTTTAAAAGGAGGGTGGTGCTTGAAATCATTGTTCTTCCTCTGTTGGTTACCTGCAAGGAAACACGTGCCGTCATCATTGCTTTGCACAAAAAGGGCTTCACAGGCAAGGATATTGCTGCTAGTAAGATTGCACCTAAATCAACCATTTATCGGATCATCAAGAACTTCAAGGAGAGAGGTTAAATTGTTGTGAAGAAGACTTCAGGGAACCCAAGAAAGTCCAGCAAGCGCCAGGACCGTCTCCTAAAGTTGATCGGGGCACCACCAGTGCAGAGCTTGCTCAGGAATGGCAGCAGGCAGGTGTGAGTGCATCTACAAGCACAGTGAGGCGAAGACTTTTGGAGGATGGCCTGGTGTCAAGAAGGGCAGCGAGGAAGCCACTTCTCTACAGGAAAAACATCAGGGACAGACTGATATTCTGCAAAAGGTACAGGGATTGGACTGCTGAGGACTGGGGTAAAGTCATTTTCTCTGATGAATCCCCTTTCCGATTGTTTGGGGCATCCGGAAAAAAGCTTGTCCGGAGAAGACAAGGTGAGCGCTACCATCAGTCCTGTGTCATGCCAACAGTAAAGCATCCTGAGACCATTCATGTGTGGGGTTGCTTCTCAGCCAAGGGAGTGGGCTCACTCACAATTTTGCCTAAGAACACAGCCATGAATAAAGAATGGTACCAACACATCCTCCGAGAGCAACTTCTCCCAACCATCCAAGACCAGTTTGGTGACGAACAATGCATTTTCCAGCATGATGGAGCACCTTGCCATAATGCAAAAGTGATAACTAAGTGGCTCGGGGAACAAAACATCGACATTTTGGGTCCATGGCCAGGAAACTCCCCAGACCTTAATCCCATTGAGAACGCGTGGTCAATCCTCAAGAGGCGGGTGGACAAACAAAAACCCACGAATTCTGACAAACTCCAAGCATTTATTATGCAAGAATGGGCTGCCATCAGTCAGGATGTGGCCCAGAAGTTAATTGACAGCATGCCAGGGCAGATTGCAGAGGTCTTGAAAAAGAAGGGTCAACACTACAAATATTGACTCTTTGCATAAACTTAATGTAATTGTCAATAAAAGCCTTTGACACTTATGGAATGCTTGTAATTATACTTCAGTATACCATAATAACTAATATCTAAAAATCCTGAAGCAGCAAACTTTGTGAAGACCAATACTTGTGTCATTCTCAAAACTTTTGACCACGACTGTACATAGTTGCTGGTTCCCTCCTCAATCGCTATATAGGTGGCAACAGTGGGATACTGGCCTGTGCTCTGTCAGGCCTTTGTTTCTCAAGAGATAGTTGAATAGTGTTGCTTCTATGTATGTGGGTGTCCAGTATAGACATCTGCTTATAGGTCTGCTTAACTTGCCCGGGCTGTAATCATCTTTACTCATTTGTATCTACATTTGGCATAACCATCCTATTTTAAGACAAATGCACGCCTGGAAAAATGAGTTCAGGTGGTACCAAATTTTATTTCATTGCCCTCTGCTGAGTTTTCAGGGGTATTTCACTACATGGAGGCATGGAAGTTCAGAGGGCTGAACAAAACTTGAGGGTGAGTTAAACTCTATCTTAAAGGGGCAATCTGCAGTTGCTACATACAGTTTTTGACTTATAAATTAATTATCTGTACCCATTCATTCTTGGGGCACTATTCAATCTGTATGGCTGAACGTTACAGATTGTGCGATAGAAATGTAAAGGTAATTTCCGATTGAGCCGACATATGCAGCGTTTACCGTGAATGCAGTCTCCGCTAACGCGGGAACATTGCCTTTACATTTCAATCACGCTAGAACGCTGCATTTCTGCAATACAGATTGAATAGAGCCCTTGCAGAATATAACTAAGAAATGCCTCATGAATTTAGTTCATGGTTCAACTGTCGACTCGTACTGCATCAGAACCCAAAATATAAGCTTGTTTGTAAACAAAGTAGATGTAAACAAATATAGCCTCAACACATGGTTAAAACTTTAATTTTGAAATCATGGATGGATGGTCAGTTTCTGCATCCATAGCTCTGAAAATGAATTTGAAAGTGGTTACATTTACAGCCCCATCCCTCAGGTTCTTACCGAAAAATGGCAGGGATTATGCTTTGTTATTGTTTAAACTGCTTTCATGGTTTTCTGTGGGACTTTAATAACTTGGTCACTTGGTGTACAAAGCAATATGATGATAGTTCAGATTTTTTGTTTTATAATTAAATGTAGTTTCTTCTAACTCTACAAATGTATAGTCCTTGAAAGTTGGATCCGTTCATGTAATGTCCCTTTTTGTACACTAGAGGGAGATATAGCTTCATTGCTCATAGAGCAGCATGGAACTCAGTTCTAGAGAACAACTTTGATTTTGGTCTTTTGAAGCCATTCGTTTGTCTCAGAGAATATTCGGCACTACTGCTTCAAGCCTATCTATACTTTAATTTCAGTGGGCATTTGGTTACACATTTACACATTACTATTTTATTTACTATATCAAGAAAACATTACTTATTTTAAAAAACGTATTTGACCAAGTCATGTTACCAGCAGACTGTGTAGGCTAATAGTATTATACCTATAAACCAGCAGACTGTGTAGGCTAATAGTATTATACCTATAATAGTATTTTTTATAAACATGAATTATTATAATTTTTTTCTAATGCTGTCCCACTGGAAATGGTAAAACATTTGATATTTTCCAGTGTTTATTGTGTGACTGCCATTGTGGGATATTGAGCGGCCCTTACTTTACATGTGAAGTGCATACAATCAAAATATGACAGTACATCATATGAATGTAATTACTGAAGGGAGCCCATGCAAGCTATATCAAACTTAAAGCTTTTATGAGTCTAATGAAAAAATAACCCCAGGGAGTGTTTTGTAATGGGCAAAAGCTCAAAGCTCCCCTCTAAGCAGGGCGCTGTAGTAGCTACAGTACCCTTGAAGTACCCATTCTTACTTTAGTCTCTCCTCCAGCCTGCAGCCTGGAACAAGGGCAAGGTTAACACTGTGGCCTGGAGCCTACACCAGTCTACACCAGAGAGAGGGAGCCTAATGTACTTCCATACAGGACCATCAGATGATAAATCACACTATTGTACAGCACAACCGCCACCACTTCAAATCAAATCAAATTGTATTTGTCACATGCGCCGAATACAATAGGTGTAGACCTTACAGTGAAATGCTTACTTACAAGCCCTTAACCAACAATGCAGTTTTAAGAAAAATAAGTGTTAAGTAAAAAATAGAAACACCTCAACTTGTGTTATATTAGTGGTTGGCTAACACTACTACTGAAAATGTGCTTTAAGGGCTTCATAAAATTACAGACAATCATTTAACTAAATCAAAATAGAGAAACTTTTAAAACTATTAAATCAACTAAATCAGCTGAGGAGTCACATACAAAGGTATGTAAAAGCAAATACAAAAATGCAAAACAAAATACAAAAAACTATTTCTCAAATATAGAGCTGCTTGTACAAAA